CGTGTGAAAATCTCATGCTGCCAGTGGATGGTTCCCTTATTTATTCATCCATGAATTGAAGTACTGATATTGAAGTCGCAGTTTTGCTATGAAGTCAACAGTTGATTTCATAGTGGAACCAATTTTATATATACAATAAATAAACCTATCATATTCTCTGATTACTTGAATAACATTAATATAATTTTATTAGTATGGTAGGTTTATTTATTGTATATAGAAAGTTGGCTCCACCATGGAGCCAACTGTTGGCTTCATAGCAAAACTGATCTAAGTCGTATCATCTCTTTGGTTCCATTGCAAAATTATATACCATTTTACATGCATCACTAATGAATCTCTTCATCTATGCTTCAAAATTTTTCAAAAGACTATCCACACATGTTGTTGAGATATGGTATGGTAAATATATATATATATATGTAGTGATCCAAAATTTCTTGAATAGACAAATCATGAGTACCTAAAATAGCATCCACAAAAGGCATGTGGATTTTATCCAAATGTTATTGTTTAGGGACCAAAAGGGTCTATGATATTGAGGGTGGTTCATTTTGTCCAATATTCCCCACTTGTTATCAAGACAAATGGTGGTTGCATTTTTATTACATTGGACCCCTAACTAACTTGCACAAGAGGTCCCAATACATGAAACCCTTTGCTTGGATATATGGCCACTTTGACTAGCCAACCTAATAGGGGCCCTCATGATTTTGCAACTCAAAAATTCATACTTTCCTACGTTTGCCATGTGCAATAATTTTGGTGTAGTAGGCCTCAATTGTCCTCTTTGTGAGGTTACAAGAGAAGTTAATATGGAGGTCCAAGAAAAAGATTTCAAAATTTTTATTTTATTATTTTATATCAATTTTGATACGAAGCTTGTTGAATATAGAAGGTTGACTCCACTATAGAACTAACTGTTGGTTTCATAGCAAAACTGTATATCATTATGACGATGCATAACAACCATTTGCAGAAAAATTGCTCTTACAATTGTACGTATCTTGTTTTCCAACATAATATAAGTGGAATAAGAAATACAACATAGTGTTTAATGATCGATATACGTGTATAATTATTTTTTTCTTTTTATTATATTTTTACAAAGGTGTATAAACATTTGAAGATGCTTATACAATTATACTTCTTTGTTTTTCCAACATAATGTAAGTGGAATAACAAACTTTGAACTCATACCGATCATATCCAGTTCATGCTCCAGGTAAATTATGTACGACGTAGTGTTTGGTGATCGATATACGTGTATAATTTGCTAATGGTTTGATAAGTTCACATTATTAGGTTTGGGCTGGATTATTCATGTAAACAAAAACTTTTTGAAACATGATTCTTGCCTAATGGCGAATAATGTTTCATCAGTTCAACTACACGGCACTATCAATGGGAACATGTCATGTTTTGTATGTTAGATCAAAGGCTCTTAACTCTTATATTCTTCTTTCTTAAAGTGATCATATACAAAGTCGCATCTTAGTTACGTACCTAAGTTGCAATGGACCATATTGAGTGAAACAAAACCACCAAAAAAAAGGAGTCTAACTCAAGCTCGTTTAGTTAAGAAGCCGAACTTGTATCAACTCAGTAAAGGCTCGAGCCCAACTCGAGCTTCTACACACATGCTCAAATATGAAAAACTCAAACTCAGGCTCGGCTAGGCCACACCACTATTTAAAATTTCTCTAGACAAATATCATACATATATCATCTTATACATGTGACATATCATGTTAATAAGGTTGAAATTAGAACTGAGTACAAAAAAAATGTTCTAAACAATTAATCAAGACAAATTAATGTGCCAGTCTTATTACAAGTCACAACAGACAAACAAGACAGCAAAAGTTACAGAGTCCCGCCTCAATGAACAAAAGCTTCACCCATTACGTGAAGCAAAGTTAACAAAAATAAATAAAAAAAAATCAGACTTAGAGAGCTGAGATGCACTCATACAACCATGTAACACTGGAGGAAAACTAACAAAAAAAAAAATGAAACAGAAATAATTAGAAAACCAGCTCCCGACACAAAGAACAACAATACCAATGAATATATTACGCGACACTAGTCGAGGAGAACCTAAAAATATCCCTTGTTAAGCTGGAAACGAAGGGGTCGAAATTGAAAAAAAAAATAAAAAAAAAATGAATCCGCATGTCAAAAAACGGGTCGTCAGTCTATGAACAAGTAAACAAATGAAGTAGACTTTTTGAAACAAGCATCTTTTTTTCAGAAAATAAAATAAAATAAAATAAAAGGGACGGGTTCAGAATGTGGTGCTGCTTTCGCTGGCAGATATAGCTGGGCCTTCAGATTTCACGAGTTGTGGGCCCCGGCTGCTGATATCGAGGCCCTGAAAGCGTCCAAGTGGATCCTGGTTTGACGGGCCCGGAAAGCCCTGAATGTTAGCGGGTGAAAGCATTGGGTGGTGGCGGGAGATGCCGGCCGGGAGTGTCTGAAACTGTTGTTGCATTGACAGATTATGAGACTCGTTCGGACACGGCTGGGGAAAGAA